AATTTTTTGGGGACCACACAAGATTGAATCTTGTCGCCCGCCCCTAAATCTAGCAATATCAATCCTATCATGAGTCGGCATTCATCACGCGTCGCGGTTGGTAACCGTACAGGACCATTGCCTTCGGGTGCAGGCAAAAGGGCGGCTTAGCCTGCACGAAGCAGCTATAGCTGCTGCTGAGCTATAGCTGCCGCTGCACCCGGGTGGTTCGTGCCGCACATGATCTTGTCTCTGGATTCGCCCGATTATCAGTGATTTTCGCCCATGTTTCTGATCCATGAAGTGCTCATACCTTGGGTGGGTTGTGCACGGCAGTGCCTTCCTCCGTTTCGCCTCAGAGATCTCTCCACGCAGCCCTAATCCCTCTCTCGTTGCAGGGAGACGCAGGACAGGTAGGCAAGATTCTACGGAAGATACCACCCCTCTGGCGGACTTTACGCTCCGAGGTCCGTCGCGGGTGCGATCCCTTTCACCTTTTCAACGCCACTATACTTTAGAGGTGTCCACGACGATTCTATAGAGGGCTGCCCTAATTTTGGATCGCAACTACAGCCGGAGCTATTGAGAAACTTCGGTTGGTCGCTATGGTGAAGGCCAGCTGCGAGGGGTTCCGTGAGTCATTGGTCGAGAACAAAAAAAAGAAAAATGGGGTGTACGGAGCCCCTTGCAACCCGGGTGCAGTCATGCTGCGGTCTACTGGATGGGAGGCGGGGGGGGGTCCTTTTCCGTCGGTTCAACTCGGAGGCCCCCTTGGGTGGATGTACACTCGCATGACCAGTACTACACTTGACGTTGGATACACAGCAGAGCAGAGATGAATCCGTTGTGATTGAGAGAAGGCGTGTGCTTTGGGGCAACAACATGCAACGTTCCAATAATTAATGTCTTGTTTTTTTGTTTTGTTTTTCGTATGGACAACAGAACGTAAATATTTATCAGACAGCAGGGTGATCACATCAGTACTCCATCTGTAGTTTTCCTCCAGTCAACACACATTCGGTCATACCTGAAGAGTCACAAATAACAGATTGTGAGTATGGAGTAGACCTCGGAATTACGTAGCGTCTAGGGATCGCCTACAACGTCAAGAATAGCATGCAATAACACCTCTTTTCTCTCTGTACGAAAGTTACACTACACAACACTGTGCTTAGTTCAGTATGTACCTCTCTCAACTCTCCGGTGGGTTTTTCACGGTTTGGGGTTGCTACAACAGTAGTGCGGTGCCTCCTGTCCAAATATGCCTTCCATTTTCGAGCCAACGTGGTGCATGCTCCAGGGCTACGGGGGAGGGCGAGGGGCGGCTGCGATGCGCGCATCAGCAAGGAGGTAAGGCACGAATCGATTGATTGGCACGGGGTATGGACACCCGCCGGAGGATGCCACGACCCCCAAAGTGTCCACCTTGGCGCACGAAATGCAAAATCTTCTCCGTTATCATCCCTCGCACTTCTCTATACTAGACATATAATGGTATGTATCTTAGCGATGAACGTTTAAGTCCCATCGCACAGCTTCTGGGAACACGCACAGACAGCGCCACAACAAAACAGGCCGGTGTCATCAACGTGTCAGTACCATGGAGAAAAACGGAACCACACAACCAAGCGCAAGCTACATCGAGCAATTCTAACATGTGCTCCCGGTGTCTACGCCACGTTGCTTGGCACACAGATACTCGCACAACACTAAACACAAACAAACCAAGACCCAGCCCCGAGCAGAAGACAATAACAATTCCTCTCCTCACCACAAGCTTGCGTCGGCCTTGAGGGCACGACAGGGGTGAGGGAAGCACAAGGAGCAACAATCGATTGTGAATACGAAATCGAAAAACAAAACAATCGACAACAAGTGGGTACTGACCGGTGATGGTTCCACGCATGGTAAAGACACGAGGTTCTAACAGACACAATATTCATGGAGACGTGACCCCCCGTCCTTGGGCAAAAATGCAAGCACTACAACAAGGACTGCCATGCTCAAAACCACGAGCTGTGTCGGTTCTTCAGCCCTAGCCTGGACATTAAGCCAGTCGGGGGCGCCTTGTTCCTGTTGGCACGTTTCGCGCGACATGCAGGGGACGGGGGACGGGGTTTGCCGAAAAGTGTTGGATATGCATGTGCATTGTTGAAAAAGCATGTAACTTCGGTTCATCGGTTACACGCGGACATGCAGCTCGACGGTAGACAGTGTTGTGCGATTAAATTCCGGGTGCCTGGTGATTGGAATCTATGTAGGAAACCATCGACGGCTGGGAGCAAGAACTTCGTCATAATGCTTGTCAACAAAGTTCGCTCCGGAGAGTTCGATTGAAAAGTTCGTGGGGACAGCCGTCGTGGGAAGACGTTTGACTTCACCTACCAACTGCCGTGTCTCGCAATGGTGCTGCTTAGGGGGGGGGGGCGTACTCATTTGTTACTTGCCGTAGTCCTTTGACCATTGACCACGCGTCCCTTTCGAGACGGAGCACCGTTCCTACCCCTACTAGAGACACCACCAACATTTGGGAGCTCTTTACGTTTCTGCCACAAACTACATATGAATTTCTTGCACATCATATCCCCGTCCTCTACGGCCTCTTGTGCCCACCATCTATCCCCAATTACCGCGATCGTTTTTTCGCTGTTGTCTTATTTACCAAACTTGTCCATGTCACACCCTCTCTGTCTCATGTCCTCCTCGAGATCCTCTCTTTCCTTCCTGTACAGCTCACACTCCCCAACTATGTGGGGTCTACTCTCCTCCGATTTGCCACATGGACATGTCTGTCTATCCTCCTCTTCCTCTCTCCTACGGCTGCTGTACCTCTTCCTCCGTTCTGGCAAGTCCAGATCGCCTACTCGAAATTGCAACTTCAGTTTTTTTGCGTAGTCCATGGGGCCGTCCAAGTAACTCTTCATCCCTATCCCTTCTTTCAACTTCCCGTATGTCTCCAAGTGGTCTTCGCTTCGTACCTTCTTCCGAAGGGTTGCCTCCTCCCTACTTTCTAGCATTTCCTTGACTTTCTTCTTGAACCCCCCAAACCCTTCCGTGTCCAATGTCTCCTCGTCTCCTATCTCCTTCCAAACTCTCTCTACCACCTTGTTCCAANCTCTCAATACAGTGTTGCTCGTTGTACTTGAACATCCTAGTATTTTCTTGGCCGCTGCCATCTGCACCGTTTCCAGCTGCTTGACGGCCTTTTCGTTACCTTCCCATACCTCTCCTGCATACTCTAGCTTAGGTACAATCACATTCAAGAGAACACACCTCTTAATCCTAGTGTCTAGGTGTGGGTCCGTAAGGATCTCGTCCATCTTGCCTATCTGAGCTTTACCCTTCCCAATCAACTTTGCTATGTGTGCGTCCCATGAGCACTCCTTCGAAATCTCTACTCCCAGGTACGTATACCTGTCTACTACCGGTAGTTCTTTCTTCCCCCATTTCTATTTGAATTCTACGGGATTTTTCTTGTCTTCGTTAAAGACCACTACTGCGCATTTTCCTACGTTCGCCGACAGTCTCCATTTTCGGGTGTATCCTA